TTTTTTCTAGCCAGAATTGTTATTCTCTTTAAAAGAGAAGTGAGAGAATTGCAAAAGGTTTGGAATCGAGGGCTCCTTAGAGTGCAGCTTTGGTTTATTATGGTTTTCGAGGAGTTGCATATATTTCTTCAATGTATCCCTTGCAGCCTCTGATCCATGTAGCAAATTGTTTTTTGGACTCTGGGTCTAGTATGTCCCCACTGGCATCGCCCTTGATGGAGGCAGTTGACCTTTCTGAGTCTTTTTCATCAGGAAATGGTGATTACAATCAGCCGTTTCGAGGTTCTCCCGCTCTGTCTTTAGCCCACCCCATCAGGCTTTTGTGCCCTTCACGAGGAAGGTCACCTGTGATCTCCTTGCTTGTCAGTTATCTGTCCTGATTTTTCTCTAGACAGTGGCTCTCTGGGTAGTTCCTAATCCCGTGCTTAAGACACATTTTTCTCCTGGCTTCAAGGACATCATGCTTCAGTTCTTTTCTCTCCTATCTCACCAGCCTCTCCCAAAACTACATTCCCGTTCTTCTGAACCCCTGCTCTCTTCGAGTTATTTTGTCCGTCACTATGCCAAGTGACACTCAGATCTTTATCTTAAGCACTGTGCTTCTTATTGCTCCTTCGGTTCATACCACGTGCTTACTCAACATGGAGCTAACATGTTACCCCACCCCCAGACTTCTTCCATGTCAGTAAATGGCACCATCACCCACCAGGTGGTTCAAATTAAACCAACTGAAATCACCTGGTTTCCCCTTTTCCTTCTTTCTCCGTATTCATCAAACTTAATCAGCTTGATTTCTAAACAATTGCTGCTCCCTTCCCTCCAGCTTCACTAGAATCATCCCAGTCCAGGGCAACATTATCTTTCACTAGAGTACTGATTCCTCTGGGTCTCCTGCTTCCACTCTCACCATCCACATTCCTGACAAAGTGAATTATTTCAAAGAACAATCAGATCATGTTGTTCTTCTGCTAAAACTCTTCCAGTTGCTTTCTGTTCACTTAGACTAAAATCCAACCTTCCTACTTGGCTTACAAATTCTTAAATCTGAACCTGACTGACAATCTATGCTATGCAAATACTAGTCACCCATCATGTCCTTAACATGTAGGCCATACTACCTGTGGGTGTGTTTGTACGTGTGTGTATATGTGACGTGTGTGTAGGATAAATGAAGTTGAAGATTGCTGGCTTTTGCACCATTTGGCTTCTATGGCAATCACCTGTGGCCTTGAATGCACTAGGCATTAGCTTGGGACAAATATGCCTGATGGTGGACACCTCTGAGTATGGTGTGGGTATACATGATTGGGCATGACTGAGCATATAAGGGCAGTGTCAGTGGCAAGTGGTGGAGAAACCCCAAGAGAACATCAGAGAGCCCAAAGAGTAAAGATTTGCCTCTAGCGAAGAGGCCTGCCAGCCTCCTGGCTCCACCTCCTATCTGCACTGTACCTGGTTGCTTCACTGTAAATGATGTAGAAAGGTCATTAAAACCTGAGAAAGCTGCTGCGGCTCCAGGACTCGAGTTCACCCACTTTACCCTACTTCCTGTTTCCACCACAGCGTGTGTGTGTGTGTGTGTGTGTGTGTGTGCGCGCGCCTTGAAATTTCCAGGTTGATGTCCACCTTGAGGCCTTTTCCCAGCTTTTCTCCAGGCAGTTCTTTAGCTGGCTCCTTCATGGAATTTAGTACTTAGCTTAAACATGGTCCCAATAGATGGATGTTCTCCGATCATTCAAATTATCCCTCCAATGACTTCCTATACACACCCTGTTTCTCAGCTTCTTGAATGTCACTAATTCCAATTTTTTTAAAGATTTATTTATTTATTCATACAAAACTGGAGTGCAGGCCAGAGATGCAGAGGGTGAGAGGATTCACCAGGGACAGAGTGGGGTGCAGAACAGGCAGATCAATGAAGTACACTGCTGAGGGGAGCAGCAGGCGGGTCAGGAGAGGTCTGCCACGCCATGTGGGTCACCTCCGGGGCAGGCGGGGATCGCACTCATGCGGAAGTGGCTTGAGCTTCTTAGTGCTGTGCTTTAACCCGCTGCATGGGAGGGCCTGCTTTGTGTCTTTTTTTTTTTTTTTTTTCACTCCAAAAGGAACCAGGAGGGGCTCTATTTAAGACCTATACTAGGGGAAATAAACCTATGTAATAGGGCAGCCAGGTGCAGAGAGGCTAGGGATTGGGGGGATATCCTGGACCCGGAAAATCATTATGATCTTTCTCTGGGCTCTCTAACATTCTCTCTCACCATCTCATGGTGTTGCCTCTTCTGCAGTCACGCTGCTCTTTTCTGCTTTTAGCCAGCCTCAAGGCGCAGGTGTGCACTTACACACGCATGCGCACCCTTGCTCCAGCTGTCCATAGTCAGGCACGTGTACACCCACACCCACACTCCCAGTGCACCTTCTGCATTAACACGATGAAAGCCACAGAGACTATGGCACAAAAAGCCTGACTAATTCATTTACCTACAGCTTATAGAAGCTAAGGTAGAGACAATATATTAAGTATTTTTCTAGTGGTGTTTTGCTTTTATCACATCAATTCAGTGCATGCTAAGTTTTCAGATACCGCTTTCATGATGCACTAAGATTCTCCGAAGGGGAAGGGGAGGAAGAAGGTAGTTGCCATGGCCAAAAATGCTGGGATTCTCTGCATTAGCATGTGGTCTTTGTTCGTGTATGGAAATGGAAGTGAACAGATATATTTGTTGTCTTAATAAACCATTTTATATGCCAAAGAAGAGCTGGTGGTGGCATGTGTGGAATGGCCTGTTGCTCCATCATTGGAATTCTGTGCCTGAAGCCTAGTTAGTGTGCTGATGGTGCAATCCTAATTAGTCCCCTTCTCATTACCTGGTGGTATAGTGAGCGAACATGGCATTGAGGGGAGATGAGGTAGTCAATGAAGGGTGAAGACTTTTCATGAAACCTCAACTTATTTAATAGTGGAAATAGCATAAGAGGAAAAATACCAAAAACAGGGCTCCATTCTTCCCTTCCTGGAGTCTGAAGTGAAAGGGAATACCAGGCTATTGGGCAGTGTCAGGTAAGTTGACCACAGAGGGCTGATAGAGCTACTGCCTCTATGGTACCCCATTGCTTCCTAAACTGCATCCGTTAGTTCAGTAACTCTGGGATCCTCGTGGCTTTCTGCAAAATCACCTATTCATCACATGATTGTTGTGCCCCTGACTTGTGCCTTCGCAGGCTTTAAGATCCAGGGGCCTGGTCATGGTATTGTTGTCATACATTATTATGATGGTAATGACGGCAATTATTACTGAGCACCCCTGTGTGCCAGGCAGGATCCTAAGCACTTTATAGTATTATTTCCTCCTTTTAGAGAGGAAAATAAGGCACTAACCAGCCCCAGAAGAACATCTAATCTGATGGTGAGATGATCTGTGTTTTGAATATGGCTATGACCAGTTCTTCAAGGCCTTCACTCTGCCCACCAGCCAAAGGGACCCTGACATCTCCAACTGTTCTCAGCAGGGCTTTGCAGAGCAGATGTGTGTAAGCAATGAGGGGAGTGAAGATCCTCTGTCTCCTGGGAAACAGACAGAGAAACAGAGGGGGAGACAGAGCAAGTGGTGTAGAAACTGAGAGATATAGTAGGTTGAGGGGGCAAACAGAGGGAAGAGAAATCCAGAGGTAGCAGTTTATAGTGACAGAAATGGGCAGAGAGCCAGTGTTGAGCCGGACAGGAAAGAGACAAACGTGTCGCCCTGGCATCAGACATCCTGGTGTGGACACCCATGCCCGGGGCCTCGTCATCCCAATCAGATCCTGTCCTCAGGTCCATACACTCCCCAATTCTTGGTCAGCATGTTTGTGAGCAGGTGCTACTTAAGGTAGCCCTGCCAGCAAACAGGCACTGCAGAGACCCTGCAATACAATGTATGGGCTCACCTGTCATCACCCCTAATGGACCCAGCCCCGGTCCCCCATTTTTCCTGTCCCCCTGACTCAACACTTCTGATCCAAATTTCTCCTTACTCATTTCCCTGTCATGACTCTTGCTTCATTTCCACCTCATGGTCAGTAACCACAAACTCTGAACTCTTCTCTTTTAGTTGAAAAGCTTTATTTGAATGAAGTTTAGTTTTTGTTCAATTTCTTCTAAGGTATCTAGTTCACTGTTGAAATGTAAATGAAGTTTGATTTTATTCACCCAAGTGTCTGCCCTTCTGTAACTGGGGCTTGAAGCCCAAATCTGCCCCAGGTGATGCCCCTTGGGGGCTGCTGTTTAGGGACAGGGGACGAGGGAAAAGTCAGCAAAGTATTTATTGGTGGGTGGTGGTGACTCTGATTCAGAATGTAAGGACTACAGAAGCGGCCCCTGGTTTTGCTTTTGAAAATCAGTGTTTTGCCATCGTCCTGGTTTCCCCATTCAGAGTTTCCGGGTTAGCTATCTCTGCCCACAGTTGTGATCTTCCAGCAGGATGTTGTGGTCTCTGAGGATCAGAGAGGCTTCCAAAGCCACCTGCAGAGAGGAGAAATTTGGAGACTTTGCATATAGCCCAGGGACGGACATTGTGCTGCTTTTGCTGCTGTTTCAGTCTGGCAGGGAAGGGGAGATGGGGACCCTGCACCTCCCCTAGCTCTGAGTGTGACCATGGAAAGGCCAATGAGCTGCTGCTGCTGATGGTGGAGTGTGGCTAGTCTTTGCTGTGTGGGTCTTCTCAGCAGCCTGGAAGTATCAGTTGTGTATGTTGTGTTTGTGAGTTGGGACTCTGGTTGCCA